GGAGACAGGACTTCCCCAAATGAAACAAAGAAGCCTGGAGTCATGCTGAGCTCTGTTCAGAGGGACACAAGATCATGTTCGATCCTGTTCCCACCCTCTCTCATTTCACCTTTGAGAAAACCAGTGCCTTTCGGTTACATTAGCTAATCCTGGATTTGGTTAAACTACTGAATACAGACGTATGACGATTATTAAAAGTTTAGAATATATCAGTAGGGTAGCACAATTTTTAAGAGGCTCATATTAAAAAGTTTATAGACCTTCTAAACAAGGGGTAAAAATAGCTCTAAGTCTAAACAACTTAACTTGATACCTGGGGTTTCTCTTCTCCTAAAGAGCCCGCAGCAAAGACAGCATCATGAAGGAGGTGGATAAGACAAATTGTGCTGAGCGAGGCGGGGACTGTCTTGCAGTCCCACCACCCAGCCCCTGGGCGACCCTCTGCTTCTCCAGAGCTCAGCCTCCTCTGCGGTTTCCCCTGTAAGCAACCATCCAGTAACAAATGAAGACAGCAATGACAAGCCACCCGCAGAGCCGCCCTGAGGATTATAAACAAGTAGGAAGTATCTGCCAAATGTCCAGTTACTGCCGTGCAGACCGCGCACAGAACACGACAAGAAGGGCAAACGCGGACAAGAAAGCCCACGACGGGTCCTTGATGTTACTCACAGGGACCTACTGACCCCATCCTTTCTCAACTAGCTGGGGAAGCACACACGTTCTGCCTCACAGGCTCTTTGAAAAGAAAGAACAGGGAATAAAGAAGCATAGTATCTTTTTTTCTCATTTTTTAAAAACTTGCATGTATGTGAAGGTAAAAACAATCACGTGAACCCCTGTGCTTTGACTCATGGCTAACCTTAATTTAGGTGTACCCCACTCCTTCAGGATCATTTTGAATCCAATTGCAAATAGAACATTTCATAGTTTTTTTTAAACCCCTAAGTCACAGTTCTTTGTCCCAACGTCAATGATTTATAAAATTGAGGCAACACTGGAGGTGCCCTTGGGACAAGAGAAAACTCTAGAAACAAGTGCCTTAAATAAAAAAGGGACCACGAGTCAAGGCAGAGGTAGTTAAGGCGGCCGGGAGGACCCATGTTGTCACGCTGTTATGAGCACTGCTCCGTCCTGGGGTTCAGCCTGAGCTCCATCCTGGGGCATCGGCTCAAGGAGGAAGGGGTACTTCTCACCTGCCCCTGAACAGGCCTGACCTCTCTCCTGCCTCCGTGTATTGGACACATAATCACCTTCAGCACTGACCTGCCCCCTTCTTTGACGTAGTCTCTCTACGCTGCTTCTAAAGCACTGAAGCATCCTAGCACACAGGAAGTAATCAATGAATGCTCTTGCAATTGAATGATGGGACAGAGGACTTACTTCCTTCTGCCTTCTATCTCAGTTAGTGGTTTTCACATCTGCCTCTCCCAGTAAATTCCTGAAGGAAATAGCTGTGTTCAATCAGCTCTGTGTCCCCTACCTCCTAATGCATTTATCTGTGCACAGTAGGTGCTCAAAAAGTATCTTTTGAATGGGGGGAGAAACTCTAGGAAAAGCAGTAAGTTGGCCATGAGGTTAGGGGATTAAGCTTCCGGAGCAGGACTTGATGTAAATGATGGGCAGACTAGTAAAAATGCAATGTGGTGATTTTTTCACTGGTTTCTCATCTTAGGGAAGCAAATTTGGGCTTGTCATCATAAAAGTAAAAATTCGGGAGTGGTTTCCTCCGTCCGGATGACCCAGTCACACCTGCCTCCGCTGCCAGAATCCTGCTTTTCTCTCCTCCCCGCTCCCCAGGTGAAGGCTGCATGGAGTTGCTGCTCATAGGATGGAGTTACAGGCCTGACTCTGACACAACAGTACTTTATGCTGTGCCTGCTCGTTAATTAGCTACTGGAAACTTCAGGACAGGGCCATTAACATGCTCATAAACCGTCTATTTTAAATGTTTTCGCTTCGCCATGATTCTGCTGCGACTCTCCTTGTAAGCTGGACGTAGGACATTTGTTTCATAACATTTCTGAGGCTCATTAACAACTCCATCCCAGCGGCTCATTAACCAGCCCCCTAGGGATTTTGCCTCCTGCAGGCACAAGCCTCCGTGGCCCTCGCAGAGCCTTGGAGGGCACCTAGCTGGGACCCACGCGGGGTGAGGGGCGCGCTCACGTACCTGCTATCCTCCCGATGGGCATGGCGTGCTCCTCGGGTGGGGAGACGGAGACCATGATGTGGTTCATGTAGGCCAGGTCTTCCCGATGGGAGAGGTTGATGGGTTTCCCTTCCCGGTGCAGCCCGTCCTCGGAGAGCCGGGACTGCTTGAAATCCACGGAGTGCCGGGGGTTCAGGATCAAAGGGTGCATGATGGGGCTGGGCATGAGCTGGATCACCCGCGTGCTCTCCTGCCGGGGGCTGGATGGCTTCTGGTGGGGCTCGGAGGACGGTGGACAGTGGTTATTCTCCATGGGAGACACGGACAGGGGGTAGGGCTCCTGGTGGTTGTTCTCCTGGTGGAGCCTCGGCCCCTGGGCCCTCTCGGCTGGGGAGAGGCGGCGGATCATGTTGTCCATGGGGGACCGGAGGGGCCGCTGCTCAGGGTCAGGAGAGGGCCGGTGATTTGTCGTGATGGGCGATCTGGAACGGTGCAACAGTTCAATGGTGGGTGGGTTGTGGTGGACGTTCTCCACCGACGGCCTCGGGGTCCTCTGGACACAGTTATCTGTGGAGCAGAGGGAAGGACAGTCAGAGACCCCGACGGCCTGGCAGGAGTGGGACCTCACTGTGGTCCTGAAGGTGCTCCCCGTGGAGCATGTGTGGGTGCAGGAGCACGCTTCCTGCCAGGCTGTAGAGTGTCTTTTTCGTCATTTAAAAAAAAAAAAAAAACGAGTGCACATACTTGAAATTCTTTTCCTGCCGATGGACAAGCTAAGAATGTCTACAAACATTCCATTCATCACCTACTAGTGTTTTATAAATACAGGGAAGCCAAATGTTCAGTCTGTCCTTTTGTTACTTGACCTTTCGATGTGGCTTTCAGGGTCCATAAGGGTTTCTCTCTAGATGCTTCTGCTGCTTGACATTTTCATAACCAAATTTTTATATTCTTTACCTCCAGGAATTGTTGGTATTAATGATGATGATAATAAAGCAATGACTATATCCTACAGACTGGATTATATTATACAAAATTTACAACATTCCTATGTAGGAGATACTACCTACCATTACTCCCATTTTACAGGAGAGAAAATGGAGGCATAAAGAAGTTAAGCAAGTTACTCAAGGTCACCCAGCTACTCAGGAGATTACAGCCAGACTCCACAGATTCTAGAACCTTCTGCACCAATTACAGTATCTGCTACTTTGCTATGTAGAAACCGGGGCTGGGTTGGGGGAGGGAGTCACAGCAAAACCTGCTCTAAGCAAGAACACTGGGTCGAATTTACAGAATGACCATCTTGTTGTACTTGAAAGGACATTTAGGATCATCTTGTTTCTGAGTACACAGTCCCTACACATGGTCAGACAGGTAGAGTTAAGTAAGGAGAAGGAGGGATGGACACCCCTACTAACGCCTCCACTCCAGCCCACTGAACTTTCAAGCTGGAGGCATCTGAACAAGGCTGACATCTGAAGTGTACACAGCTCGGCAGCAGAAGTAGCTCCATGGGCTGGTCTGAGGGAGGGACCAGCATACACGTGGTTGTGGGAGTCCTGCTAAGGGTCAGAAGGACAGAAATCGCCCTCCAGAAGTGGAGCTTTCTACAGACCTCATGCTTATCTTAATGACGTGTCACTGGCCACATCTGTTCCCAGAGCTTCTCCCCAAAAGGATGTGCATGCTTGCAGGTGTCTGTTCTGGTCAGAGACTTGTCCATGATTCTAAATAAATTAAGTCAAAGATATCTCCTTTGTCCATTATGACAATACCTACATGAAAAACATATAAAGGGGATGTGGGAATCTCAGGGCTGGTACACAGAGAAAAAGGTAGTGGCTTCCTAAAGTTTCACACAGGGTTAACAGGAAAATGAGGACTCCACTAGATCTTACCAGTCATGAGACAGTGAACAAAAGAAATATTGTATCATGATCATTAAAACATCATCTGCTTGAAGGCAAAGGGTTTATTTTGTAACCACTGTGTAACATGCTGCCATGAATTTAAAAGTGCTAGTCGTTGGAATAGCTATCACAGGAGACTGGTTTAATAAATTATAGTGTATCTCTAACCGATGGAGGACTACGCAGCTATAAAATGGAATGAGGATCGCAGTATTCTGTTAAGGCCTGGGCTCCAGGCTCTGTGGTTAGATGAGCAAAGAAGGGTGAAGTACTTATGGACTTGCAACCACTTTTCTCATAAAGGGGAAGGGGATTCCAGTTTCAGTAATTGCAGAGTGGCCAGTATCAGACCAACTTTCCTACATACAGAAATTATAGAATCTGGATAAAATACATTTATAAAAGTTATTTGAGGGTCCCGGAGAAAACTGAAGGGGATTTGACTTGAAAGAAGGGAACTTCTCAGAGTGAGATCCAAATTTATACAGCTTCCACCTCGAGGGCCCTCCCCAGTCCATGTAGCATAGGGCGGCTAGAAATGAACAGAAAGTTGCTTGGGATGTCAAGGAGTAGAGCGTGAAGCTGCCAGAGGGGTGGTGGGGGGAACAGAGAGAGAGAGAGAGAGAGAAATTCCACAAAGGAGGGAGCCTCAGAGGAAGTGGTCACTAACTGGCACATAAAGTTCCCTCAAATCCTTAACATGTGCTCCTGAACAGCACACTTGCAGAGGGAACTCCAAGGAGCTCAGTGAAAGGGCAACAGCTGGATGGTTCAAAGATACGAGCAGAAAGCTCAGCTGCTGGCTGTTGTACTGGAGAGAGAGTTGACTTTGAGTTCTATTAAGGAAGGTTCTGTAAACACCTTAGGCTATTTATTACCCTAGAATGGCCACACCTTAGGAGTAAGGACTATGCTCTGCGACAGAGCCTGAGGACTAGAAGCAAAACTGAAACAGATCTCCCCTAACCAAATATAAGACGAAGCCTCCAAAATTCAGAGTAACTAGTTAGTCATTTAACTGCCTCCTAGCATGAAAAGCAACACTCTTCAGAGGAATATAACATAATCCAGAGTCTCTACAACGTGTCATCCACAATATTCAGCATCCAATAAAGATTTTCAAGACATGTGAACAGACAGATAATGTGACCCATATTCAAGAGGTCAGTCAACAGAAATAGACTCAGAGATAATCTAGATGTTGGAATGAGCAAAAAACTTTAAAGTAGCTATTATAAATACGTTCACGCACTTAAAGAAAATGATGGTCATAATGAGTGATAACAGATGAAGACTATCAGAAGAGAAATGGGAACTAAAAAAAAAGACAGCACATGAAATAAAATATTGGACTGAATGCACTTAACAGCAGATTGGAGATAGAAGAAACAGTCAGTAAATTCAAAGATCAGTGAAAATAATATAGTAAACAATAAAATAAAACAATGTAATAAAAACACACAAATCTTCAGTGACAACATTAAATTGTCTAAAAGAAGCGTAACTGGAGTTCAAGAAGGAGAAAACAGAATGGGGCAAAAAAAAATTGAAGTAATACTAGCCATGTTGCTCCCAAATTTGTTAACAACAACAATAATAAACAAAAACTTAAAGATCCAAGAAGCTCAGCGAATCCCAAGCAGGATAAAGACAATGAAAGCCACATCCAGGCACAGAGTCAAACTGCTGAAAACCAACGATAAAATCTTGAAAGCAATTGGAGGGGGAAAAATTACACCATATACAGGGGAAAAGTTATACTAACTATATAGCTAACTTCCTTTTTCAGCACCTGGAAACAGTGTACAAGCATGTGCACGAGAAAGAGATGAATGGAGACCTCTAGACTGAAAGAGACTGAAGAGACACGTCAACCTTGCAATGTATAGAGACCCTTGCTTAGACTGTGAGTCACACAAACTGTAAAAATACTACTGAGATATTTGGAAAAATGAACATTAACAGACAATCAGATGATGCTGAGGAACTATTAGTTTTCAAGTGATGTGATGGCTCTGTGATTATGACTTTAAAAAGGGACTTAAAGTGCTTAATCAGCCTTGCAAGGGTACAAGTTGGGATGACAATGACTAACTTCCTCACTTTAACCCGAATGCAAATAAATGCTTACAGGGTACTGAAGAGGTCCACAGAGTTAACGTTAATGGCTGAGATTATTAGTTTGATAGAAATGATCTGCAATCTTTTGGGAATGAGTTTTCTTTACATAGCTAATTTAGATCTCAATTCCGCCAGCCACAAAAATGAATTTATCTTTTGTCCACGGTTCGCTTTTCATTTGTCACAGAATATGATCGTCATAAGCAATATTTAAGACAGTTGCATTTTGAAGTTTCATATATTTTCTTCTAAATGCCATTTACAGAATGTCTGCCTTTCCTTAAAAGCTTATTAAGGTTTAAAAATACTTAAGGCTGATGAAGTCCGTGTACTGAGAAATCCTATTTCCTGAATCCATTTCCCGTTTCACAGATTTCAAAAAGGACACAGGCGTTGGCCAGCAGTCTGGTTACCTGGCGGGCTTTTTTTGATGTCCTGGGCGGCGAGGCTTAGGGGATGGGTGTGCACTCAGGGCAAGCCTTAGGAAGTCTGGGAGGACTATGAAAGGAAGAACTTTCATGCCAAGGGTAAAAGAGGAACTGATGTAATGTCCTGGAGAGATTTCACTCTCTGTTCCTGCCCGGATTTGGGGAACAATGAAGGAGGGAGACAGTGCTCTGGATAATCCAACTCAGATTTTACTTTTAACTCAGGATCTGGGCAGAAACGGGACTTGGAGGCGCTTGATTTATTTACTTCTCTGCAGACACCACCGAAAGAGGAAGTACTTGATGAAGCTGATAACATTAATGCTGGAGAACTGGATCCGAGGGCATTTAATTCCAGGCTCCTGGTGGTCTGGGCACAACCACTGTCAAGGCTGAAAGGCCTGCAACGAGCCCTTCCAAGCTTTGTTTTCAGTTCGCAAAAGCACGCGCCCACGTATGGAGTGGGCTCTGACGCTGCTACCCTGTCGCCTGCTGCCTCTGTTATTGTAAGTTGGCAGCAGGGTATGGAAACTTATGAGACCAGAGCCGGCAGGCAGAGAAGCTCCGGACACAGGAAATGCACTGAGCGGACAGTGGGTGCATTAAATCCCCCAGATGTAGGAGTCTTCTGTCTAAAACAAGAAGATTTTTTTTTCAGTCTGGCCTTGATGTCTGGGTTTGTTCTTGGTGAATTGCCCAGCTGGAAAACTGGGAAATTATCCACATCGCCCTTGGTCTGAAGGTCTTGATAGTGGAGGGGAACACACAGGGAAGAGAGGACAAGCCACATGTAATTGGTCAGTGTGGGCCTGGAAGGAGGGGTGGGGAAGACCCTGGACCAGTAGGGACCTCATTCTGATTGAAAGTGTTTTCTGATCCCAAACCTTTCTCTTGGTAGACCTCTTTTAAGACACAAATAATCCCTTCTTGCTACCAAACAGCCCCAAATAAATCACTACTTTAAATGTGATGATTACAAAGAAAGGCCTGCTTTCTTTTCTCATCCTCTTCCCTTTCACTTATTAGAAAAGTCTCTCTACTTAAAATTCATTGGAATTTGATCCAATTTGATCATGTTATAAATAGTGGACAACTGATAAACCTA